TCTGCTGGTCTCTCTGCTGGTCTCTCTGCTGGTCTCTCTGCTGGTCTATCCGCTGGTCTCTCCGCTGGTCTCTCCGCCTTCCTCTTCCCCACAGGTTTGAGGTTGACGGCGAGTAGATCCTTTTTGGGGATCTTTTTTAGGCTGGAGACGAGCTGGCTCCAGTTCACCGGCTCCACTCCGGTGAAAGTCATTCCCGTTTCTCCCGGCCCGTCTCTGATAAATAAAAAATCCGTCTGGAGCGGTCAGATATAAAGTTGGGGGAGGAGGCGGTTCCGAAATCCAGGCCGGTCCAATCCGGCTCTTTTTCCGTTGGGGCTGCGCACCCGTGGTCCTGGAGCGCGCAGCCTGTGCAGGGGCCCTCCAGTGGGTCCTGTGAAAGGTGAGTTGGTCCCGGTGAGTTTGTTTGATTCCTGTTGGTGTGTGGTTGTCATGTGGCGAGGGTTCCGTCACTCTTGGTGACGTCACGATTTGTGCCCGCCCCTCGAGGGAACCCCTGGCCCTTGGAATGACCGTCGACTGTGGTTGGAATGTATCCATTTGGTGGTTCAGGTTGTCCTTGATGAATTTGTGAGCCTGGAGGATTGTTTTAAGTTTTAGCCTTCTCCGGGCCCAGACAACCGCCACCTCAAAGGGGGATGTCCAACCGAACTCTGGCAGTTCCACTTATTGTTGTAATAAAAGTGTCATCATGTCCTCGTAATGTTGCTGGACGATTTTTAATGTAGTCATTTCCCAGTAGTGGGCATTACCATCCAGCAACCAGTACGTCTGTTCGCTTGGAGAGGCGGGTTTTATTAAATTTGCCAGGTTCATAGTCTTTGTTTTAATGTTCGGTGGGGCCTCCCTTCCACCGACATTCGAAGCGTGGTGGACGGCCCCTATAATGCCATTTAAAAGTATCACTTTGGTCGAAAAGTGCGGGTCCTCCGACTGGACCATCGGATGCCCTCCATTGTTCGTGCCTCCGTTTGAATTAAAATGAGTCATACCTTTGGAAATGTATGTACAGGTATTCGGATTTTAGCTACACACCAGGTGATTGCTTAGGGGTGTGGTCTTACCTTATTTAACAGATAGGGTGTACCCAACAGATACAGGTGATGGTTTTTTGCAACTTTTTGTTTTGACTGTCATCTCTTAATCGCTGTCATTATAGATTATTATTTTGAACGTCATTTGACAGATCTGAAAAGTGATGCATGCAAGTTTATTGTCATATGGTTTAAAATAAATACCCAAATGCCAATGGAACTTATCTGGTTTATTAGAGATAACTCACAGTAAAAAACCTACTCTAACTATATAAAATTAATTTAGCTGACACTTGTTACATTGAAATATGTCA